GTTTTAATCTACGTAGTCACATGTGGCCAGTGGTCACACTGTATTGGAGTTCAACAGCATGATGTTACCTTGTGAAACTCACATCAGCATCTAAATTTAAAAATGTTAATTCAGGCGAAGTGCAGTGGCTCATGCCTGAAACTCAGCACTTTCGGAGGCTGAGATGGGAGGATTGCTTGCACTTAGGAGTTTAAGACCAGCCTGGGCAAGATAGCAAGACCCTGTCTCTACAAAAAAATTTAAAAAAGTTAGCCAGGTGTGGTGGCATGCATTGTAGTCCTAGTTACTTGGGAGGTTCGGGCAGGAGGACCGCTTGGTCCAGGAGTTTGAGGCTGTGGTGAGTTGTGACTGTACCACTGGACTCCAGCCTGGGTGACAGAGTGAGACCCTGTCTCTCAAAAAAACCAAAAAAACCAAAAAACAGTTAATTCAATATGTTCTGCATGACACGTCACTCACTGATTACAAAAATCTCCAAACGTTAGTATGTTGTTTTAAGAACAGAGCTACTTTTTATTATTGCCAAACACTGTTAAGTTATTAAGATACATATATACTTCACTACCCCTTGCTGGAAGGATATCGGCTTTCACGGCTAAATAAGGAATTACGAATGGAAGTTCTTTACAGTTTTTTAAATCTTAAAATTAAAGGGAATTTGTTTCAACAGAGAAACAGCAGCAGTTAATTTTTGTAAAATGTCCAACTAAAAGGTAAGCTCAAAGCTAAGACAACCTTACTCCTGCAAGGAGAAAATTAGAAACGCTTCAGTCAATTTGAATGACAAAACAAAATAAAAAAACCTGTGGGGTTGTAGATGAAAATCAAATGTCTATACTCTTTAACTTACACATACTTAAAATATATAAGGCAACTTATTAACTCATGAACAATTTTGTTCCAATGATTCATGAGTATCTTCTCTGGGCCACTCCGATGACCAGATTCCACTTTCCAGGGTGCTTCAGTTTTCCGTCTACTGAGTCCAAATCCACACCAGGATGCTCTCCATGGAAACCCCAGCCCAGCCATCAACACCCATTCAGGTGGGCCGAGCTTCTTTTCATTCACCACTATATAGATTTCTTTCTTTTTCCTTTTTTTTTTGAGATCTATAAAAGCTCTGTTTCCAAAGGCGTCTAACACGTGCACTTTGTGAACCTCTCCAGCCTCAGGAGTAATCACTGACTCTTCCCTGTTTTTGGTTTCACTGATCTGGTAAGAGGGATCGATAAACATCCCAAACTAGCATCAGCCAAAGTTGTTTCAGCACATCACGTTCTTCCCACCCAGCACCTTGTTCAAATCAGCGCGATGCAGAGCACCCTGCACCGGAGTGTCCTGATGCAGCGCCGCCCCTTCAGAGGGAGACTTTGGGGGGAACCCAGCCTTGTGACCAGGCACAGAGGAGACATACCCGAAGATAAATTTAAAGAGGGAAGGCTGCCTGGAGTGACCCAGGGTTTTCCTCACACCTTCCTCAGTGCTTGCTAAACTTCCAGATTTGGATTAAAATGCCCAACTCTGCTAAATTGTCACTTGCCTTTGGGAATCACAGGCAGGCACAAAGCTGCCAAGACAAGTAGACGGACCTTCCCTACTTTTAACCTAACACCATACTACCGCAAGCACAGTCTCTCCAGAAGCTAATCTGATGTCATCGGTGCTAACCATTCACACTTTCTACGGCCTCCACTAGTGGCAGGACAAAAAAAGTTGGGCCTCTACGGTGTCATTTCCGGGTTACTCTGATCTGCCTGTGACCGACCTGGACCAATTTTGGTCCTTTTCTCTCCACTGGTGGGCCACACTCCGCCGTCTCACCTCAGGGGCTGCAGATGGAGGACCCCCACACCAGCACTCACCTGGTCTGGCTAAGTCCTCCCTGTTCGGCTTAGGCATCTGTCCCTCCCCAGAGCATCCGCGACGGCAGTCCCTGCCACCCGCGGACCAAGCCGCTATCACAACACTCATCCTACCACCCTGTCCTCCACGGGCAAGACGCCGTTTCAAGTGCTTTACCCGGACCATCTTCTTTAAGCTCACGACACCTTGCGAGGCAGGTGACGCTCCTCAGATGGGAAAGCGGAGGCCCAGAGAAGTCAATCTGCCCGGAGTCACGCCACGCCAGGATGGAACTCAGGCCCGGAGTCTGAGCTCTCTGCCCTTTACAGAGGTCTGCGGCTCAGAGACTCGGCGTCTGACAAGGGGCCTCCGGGGCAGCACCAGGGCGACCGCCCTCCAGACGTCTGCGGAGAGTGGGCCTCGCAGCCACCACGCGAGGAGCATCAGAGGCAAAGGAAGGAGGCTGGAAGCCTGGCTTCTGGTGCGGCCCTTAAGCAACGCTGGCCTAACAGGTGGGCCCGAGGCTCCCTTCCGGTAGAACCAAGCCGGAAGACCCAAACCAAACAACAAACCCCCTTTCCACGGAGATGTCCCTCATGGGTGCAACACACGCGAAGCACGCATGAGCCTCACGTGCGGCGGCAGGAGTCACAAAGGTGTTTCCAGACTCGCCGATCTGACTCGCTGACGACCAAGAAGAAAGCTCAAGGCGAGCCCACCTTTCGGTTCTGCTGGTCGAACCAGGATCTGCGAGGCAGGGAGGGTTTACAATTCGCACCCACAAAAGCGGAGTCAGCGCGCGTGACATCCAACACCAGACACGCAGGCCTGCAAAAAACCTCGAGGCTGCTTTACCCTAAAGCGAGCACGGTAGCTAACACTTACAGAGCGCTTTGCGGCGGCTGCATCGCTACCGTCGCCGTGTCTGGGCCGCGGCCTCCCTCGGCCGCCCAGACCCGGACGCGGCCGCACAACACGAGGTT